CCCCAAAACCCCAAAACCCCAAAACCCCAAAACCCCAAAACCCCGAAAAGAGGGAAATTTATTGAGAAGGATGGGAGATTTTGGATGGATTAGATCGTGTTGATTGACTTTAGTTTTGAGAGGATTGATTCTAGAGAGGTGAGGGGGAGAGGGAGTACTTGTGAATAGGAGAGAGTAAGCTCCCTTGGATTCACTCATTTCTGGGAGGTTGTATAGGTTCATTAGAGAGGGAATGTCGACTTCATTGCCTATGGGATATAAATTAACAGGATTAAGATAGATTGGGAGGACGAATTATTTTGTATGAAGATATGATAAAAATGTAAAAATTGAGATATTTTAAATTACCATCTTCTTTGATCAGTTTTGCAATCTCTCCACATTTGTTTTGATGTAAGAATTTTGTAAATCCATCTTTGATTTCATCAATTTCAAGAGTTTTATTCTCATCAGATAAAACTTCTTTCTTTGCTTTGCCAAGAAGTTCAGAATCTTTACAGAATTCATCATATTTCTTTTCAACCTTTTGAACAGTCTTGATTCTTTCTTCAATGACATCGTCAATCGCTTCGTTAATCTTCTGCTTGAGTCTTTGACCCATCCAGGTCAACTCCTCTTCGTTAATATCATAATACTTTTTAAAGCTCTTCTTATAATCTTTGAACTTTTCGTCGATATTGTCTATCTTAGATTTGAACTTGTCTATGTTCTTAATTTTCTCCTTAAGCTCTGATTTTTCTTCGATGTCATTAACTTCATGGCCATTATGGGTGCCTTTCTTAATGCACTCCTTACAGACAAATTTGAGACAAGTCTCACAGTAAAGGGCTCCTTTCAAGTCATGGGTTGGACACGTTTTATTGATACCATCATTGTTTCTATTAGGGTCATTGAGCATATCTCTGACTTCGTTTACGAATCTATTTCTGACTAACTCAGACATATTGATAAAGCTTTTACAGTAAGGGCATTGTCTGTTTCCAAAATCAATACGGTTCCAGCAATCTCTGCATGCTTGGCCAGTGCAGTTCTTACAAAGCAAGGCATCAGAGTAGTCAGTTCTGAAGCATATATTGCATTTGAGGATATCTAGCTCGGGGTTATCTGAGTTCACAACATTATTTACATTCAAAGATCCGAGGGTAGCTGTGTTTGCTAAAATCAAATTAATACAGTACAAATTTGAAGCTCTTACCTCCTCCTATAGTGAGAGAGTTTAAGTTGTTCCTTCCTAAATCTATGAACGGATTAGAATTTGGCATAGAATTATTAAAGAGACCTCCTCCAGCCATAATCGGTTGTGTGCTATTGGAAAATATTCCTAATCCTGAATTTCCGAAGCCACTTCCATCTCCAAATACACCTGGAGCATTTGAAGATATATTTTGTGCTGCTCCCAGGACATTCCCTGAGTTATTTCTGTTAGTGCCGAAAGTATTAGAAGTCATATTATTTGAAAACTCATTTGAGTTTCCAAGATTATTTCCAAACATTCCTGTAACACTATTCGTATTATTTCCAAAGATCGAGCTTGAGAGTACTCCTGAAATAGGCTGAGGAGGTCTTGCTTGATACTGCAACCTTGGAGAGTCATTATCATTCCTAATCTGCGGGATAGGATTTATTTGACTCAATTGAGGAGGATTTCTATTTCTTGATTGGGTGGAAAGACTTCTTGATCTAAGTGATCCCCTACTTATTGCTCTGGGTGATCTTCTGATAGATATCCTTCTTGATCTATTTCTTTCTCTACTTCTTGATCTACTTCTTGATCTATTTCTAGAATCAATGGATGTTACAAATCTTCCCATTACAGGAGGGTTTGCTGGAGAAGAATCTCTCATAGGACTTGGTTGTCTAATACTTGTTCTTCTTATACTTGATGTTCTCATAGGAGACATTCTTGTAGACCCAATGCTAGCATTAGACTTTCTCTCTTCTATAGGTGAAACTCTGTCATTCCTCGTCGGTGTATCAACTGCTGTTGGGGGTATAACAACTTCTTGTCTTGGAGGCGTTCTTCTACCACCTAATATCATGAATTAGTATGAATTTTTATTAAGCTAATTGATAACTTAAATCTTAATCCTGAGTTAATTGTAAGTTACTAAATTATTGGTTTGATAAACAACCGCAATTAAAAACATCGAGAATAGTGTAAAAAATTAATTTGAATCATCCTCAAGTGGAAAATAGATAATTGGTATTGAAATAATTTATCGTTTTGTAGATTTCTGAAGAATTCATGTATTGGATTGAAATATAAAGCTTTGAAAATTTATATGTAAAGTACACTTTGTCTGATAGTTATTAGTTCAAATCTTTTGAGGGCTCTCGTATGAAAAATATTTTAACAGTAGAAAAAAATCTTATATACTTAAAGATTTTAAGTCCGTCTTCTTCCAATTTAAAAATATTCCTATATTGAACAATGTCTTATCCAGAGCTTTTTCAAGACTTCAATAAACTACTTTCTTAAAAATCTCAAACAGAATTTAAAGAGCGCACCTACATCCCATCTACACCAGGAGACTTCGACCACAGCTACCCATCTCAGCATAAACCACACAATCAGCCTCATAATTCTGAACCCAATCCCAACCCTCTAACAGCGATGGCCAATACTCCATTCCTTAAAACCCCTTAGCGCACATATTCTGAATCCTTTCCAAAAATACGAAGGATTTGGAACGAAATTAAGAAATAATTAGAGTCAGGTTCATGGGGGTTATAAGCTACTTGGGATGTTGGCTACCCTTGCCTCCTACCCTTTGAATGTGGCTATTTATTTATTTGGGAATATTTTAGAATCAATAAATGATTATATTCAAAATGGGGACGCAGGAGGGAAGAGCAAGGCCAAATAGCATTCCAAGCAGTATATAATTCCCATTAATTTTACTCTAAATAACCACTACTACATTTTTCTTTCAAATTCTCAATACAGCCTAATAAATTCTGACTTAAACACTAGATTTTCTATACAAACTACATATCTCTTCTAAAGAGAAGCCAAGCTGTGAGATAACAGATTTATTTGCACTAGAACATTTTACACCTGTCTAAAGCAAAGATTCTTACTTCTGGGTGGTGACATTTGGGGTCCACGAATACTCATTTTTATTTATGATATTTTCATTTTGTGTTGGCTTATATGGGGTTTTGGGGTTTTGGGGTTTTGGGGTTTTGGGG